TTTTTTGTGTGTGTGTGTGTGTTTTTGAGACAGGGTCTCACTATGTAGTTTAGGCTGGCCTTGAGCTCACTTTGTATCCCAGGCTGGCCTGGAACTTGCAATGTTCCTCCTGCCTCAGCCTCCCAAGTGCTGGGATTACAGGTGTGCGCCACCACGCCTGGCTCATTGTATGATTTTCAAGTAAACAAGGGGTGTTTACTTCTGAAAGGGACATCAGTAAAAGACAAATGTGGATACTTTTAAGGGACAAGGGGATGAGGCTTCCTGCTGGAAGGAGCTGATACTCAAACTTGGAATGGGTTTTTGGTCTTTACTTGGGAGAATTCGATCTCTGTTTTGTTACTGTGGTTCTGTCCTTAGATAATCAGACTTGAGTCTTTGCTGATAGCACTGGGAGTCATTGGGTACCAGGAGAGGGGGTTGGTTCACTCTGTTCGCCTGTCCTCTGCAGACATTGCTGTGGAACTGCTCCAGAAGGCAGCCCCCAGCCCTATTCGCCGGCTCCAGAAGAAATATGTGGCTCATGTTTCCCGGTGAGCCTGGAATTGAGGGGATAGGATGAGAGTGTTTGGGCCTTAGTGGGGTGGACTGGTTGTCTCTAAAGAGAAGACAAAGGGAAAGGGGAGAGGGGAGGGGAAGTGAAAAGGACTAAGACTTGATACATGTGTATACACATGATACATATATTCACTATGTATCACAAGGCTACACTAAAAATACAAAGAGAAGATACAAACCAGACAAGCATTGCAAGAACCAAGGTAAAGGACTCTTGGGTTTAATTATGGATCCTTTCTACCTCCCAGAGAGGCATGCATTTCCCCATGTGCTATGATGCTTGCTCTGGTGTACATTGAGCGGCTCCGGCACCGAAACCCGGATTACCTGCAGCACGTGTCATCTTCTGACTTGTTCCTGATCTCCATGGTAAGCAGCCCGTCCCCTTCATCTCCCTAGTGAGCCAGGAGCTTGATGTGAGCTCTACCAGTACCATTTTTGGTTCCTCTGCAGATGGTGGCCAGCAAGTACCTCTATGATGAAGGGGAGGAGGAGGAGGTCTTCAACGATGAATGGGGAGCTGCTGGGGGTGTGGCTGTGCCCACTCTCAATGCCTTGGAGAGGGGCTTCCTGAGTGCCATGGTGAATAGCTGTTCTCTCTGTTTTCCTGGTTCACCTTTACTTTCCTTAGTTATCTCTGTTTTCTGTTGTTTCTTCATTTCCTTTCCTGTCTGTATTCCTATGCCTTTTTGTTAGTGGCTTCCCTTCCTATCCTTTTAGGACTAACTGCCCGGGGGTGAGGCCAGGAGTGGAGCATTTCCTCTCCTCCCTGTTCCCACAGGCTTTCACAGGGCACACTGAGTCAGATCCCATCATGTTGGGTTCTGAGTATTTCCTGTCCAGCTTTCTTTGCATCTATGCTCTAAGCTCTTCTTGTCCATGCTCAGGATCATTTTCTCCCCTCACCCTGATGGAAGGTATGATATGAAACCAGGTAGAGACATTATTTGACTTAATATATAAAAGCTTTTGGGATAGCACCTGGCATATAGTAAGTGCCAGTATCAGCCACAGTGGTGGTTGTCATTGTTGCTGTGGCTTTTGTTCTCAGGTGACTGTGGCACACATCTGAGTGGGGCTTGATGCTCTTCCCTTTCACCCACAGGATTGGCGTCTCTACACTGACCCTGGAGAGATCTTTGAGGTGCTGAGCTGGCTGGAGAGCTGGTAGGTTGTAGGATTCAAGAAGAAGGGATTTAGGAGGTGGAGGCCTAGATCATAGGAGTTAGGGATAAGGGTGTGTGTAATTGCGCAGAGGGAGGAAACAAGAAAGAGAATTACGCAAGGTGGTGGTTCCCAAACCCATCTGTTCTCCTTTGGGAGGGCGGGAGCAGTTTACTTAAAATACAGATATTGGTTTCAGCATCAGTTTCTGGATCAGCAGGCAGCCTAGGTACCTGGCCACTTCAAATCCCCAGTGCTTTTTGTGGGGTGCTGAGGGGTATGAGGTGCCACTGAGCTGGCAGCAGGAGAGTTGCAGACTCCCGCCTCTTCTCCCCCGACAGTGTGGCTGAGCAGCAGGGACGGCGGCGGGGCTGGTACACCTATACAGACCTGTGCGTGCTGCTGGAGCAGCCGGCCTGGCAGCTGGCCTTGGGCTCCCTCTGCCAGCGACTGGTAAAGGTGAGGAGGCGGGGGTTGGGAAGGAGAGAGGGCTTGAGTGGGGTGGGAGGTCATAAAGCAGATACTGGAAGACTCAGGACATGGAGCTTGGGAGCAGATGGGTGGGGGAGGCATAGGGGGCAACAGAGCTCCACCTCGAATGCAGGTTTCTAGAGATGAGGAGTGTGTGTATGTTAAGGGCAGTTAGAAGCCTGCTGCTTTCTTACTTTTTCTCCCGCAGCTGTCCTGCCTTTTAACCATGGCATATGTGAGCAGCGTGGCCCTGGCTGTGGCATCGGTGGCTGTAATACACCAGTCCTTAGGACTGTCCTGCAGCCCCTCTCCTGGTCCTCCCGACCTTGGCCTGGCCTCGAAGGGCCTTTTGGAGCCCTGCATTCCTTCTCCAGTGCCACAACACCTGCCGTCTTCTAACATCTCCAGCTGCGTGGAATCTGACGCAGGGCTGCGTTCACTCTGGGACAGTCTTCTGGCCTCACTGACTCCCCCACCATTGCCTCCTCCAGAGCCTCCTTCCCTTTCCCCTCTTCTGCATAACTGCCCCCTTTGTCAGAAGCTCCAGAGAGACCCCCCAGCCTGCCAAGCCTGCCACCACCCCAACTATACAGTACCTGCTGGCCCTCCCAGCCCTGGGTACCACACCCATGGCCTGGCTCCGCCCTGGCCCTGGAGCCGGATGGCCCTTCCGCTCCCCCAGCCCCAGCAGTGTTCTCTTTTCAGTGTGATGGAGCTGGCCCGCCTCAAGTCTTTCATTTTCCCAGGCTAGGTAGGGCTCCAAGGTATGCAGTCAGAGGATTTGGGAGTCTGAGAACCTAGGAGAGGAAAGCTTGATTTAGATCCTTGCTGTCTCTCTGGGTCCTCGGCTGGTCCCCTGTCCTCCTGGGTAAGCGTTTAAGGGGTTGTGGGGCAGAAGGACTGAAGGTCATTCACTCTCCTACACCTCACTGGCTGGCTGCTTGGCCAGGGGAGTGATGGTGCCAGGGGAAAGCTTCACTGGGTGCAAGGGGCAGGTCACAGGCGACAGGAGAAGCCCCATCCCTGCTTCCTCAGGGCTCTTCTAGTGTTTTGCTTTTGAGTTTCCTAGGATAGAAGGGTAAAGGTGGAAGATGGGGGTAGTAGGGTACAGGGAGGAAGGAAGCACGCATTGATACGGTCCTGTGTGATGTCTCTGAGGCAAGAGAACCAGGGACTGACAGGGCAGGGTGCGAGCTGCTGAGGGGAAGCTGGGTGAGGCGGGAAAGCTTTTTGATGCCTGTCCCGTTGCTGTAGTTTAGTGGAGCCAAGGACAGACTGCTGGGACCTTTGACCTTGACCTTTTGTCTTCCAGCCTTCTTAGTATCCTGCTCCAAGGCTTCCCTCTCTTCTGGCTCCTCTTTGGGTGTTCTCTTCACAGGTCTTTCTGGCCACGGCTTTGTATCTGAGTTTTTCATGCTTTTGTAGAACTAAGATTTCAATAAACAGTTTCAGTTGCATGGCCTCGACTTTTCCTTCTTGTGGCGGCCCTCGAAGATCTTTCCTCCTTGCACCTGCCTTCCAAGCCTCCCCACTTTCGCCTCCTGTCGTCTCGTAAGCCTTTTCTCTGAGCCCCATTTTAGAACTTCCCAGTCATAGGCTCCCAGCTCACACTTCCCCTTGGCCCTATTCCCAGCACCCTGGGGCCCTGGCACTGCTCAGCTTGGGTTGCTACAGGACACAAATGGCGACTTGTCCATGCCTGGGGTTGGTCTTGTTTGTCACATTTTCTGGGCGAGCATTTCTTTGTGGGGCCAAGCCATGTATCCAGACGAGCACTCTGAAACTCCTTGAGCACAAGCCCGGAGGATACCTCTCTGCTGACCTCTTCACCAGGCTGTCACACGGCAGTGGCCACATTGTTGAAAGAATGCCTATACCAAGTCCTTACTGGAAGAACAGACTAGGCTGCCTCCATTGGACGCCGGCGATCATCCACAGCCGGGGTATTATTGCCCTCTAGAGGACATTTGTAAGATGTGCAGGCCGTTTTTGGCTGTCTCAAGGATTTTGTTGGGGATATTACTAGCATTTATTCAGCGTGGGCAGGATGCTAATCGTCCTAACATACTCAAGACCTGCCTTACTGTGAAGGATTCTCAGGACAAATTTTGAATGACTAGCTGCTCATGTATGTGAAAATCCTGTTTGTCTGAGCCTGGAATGATCTTTTTTACATGTAAGCATGAAACCATTTTTGTGCATTTTGAAAAAGACTGAGTTTTGTAATAATGCACATCCATGTAAATTAAAACCATACTTTTGTTTTGTTCCTTGCTTTATGAGGAGTTTGTTTGCTGTTTGGAAAATGGGGTCATCAATGCCCATACTGCTTGTTGCTAATAAAGTGCGATTATTAGCTCTCACTGTAACTGTTACATACTCTGCAATTGCACATATGTGTGTGGGGAGTGGACTTCCTTGTTGGCTTTTGGTTTATTTGCACCCAAGTTTTCATTTATTGAAGTAACATTTGTTTGGAAGACAAGGTCTTGCTATGTAGTTTAGACTGGCCTTGAACTCACTATGTGGCCTAGCCTGACCTTGAACTCACAGCAGTCCTCCTGCCTCAGCCTCTGGAGTGTTGTGCCCATCACACCTGGCACTTAACATGTCATTGTAAATTACCTTTATTTCTCCTTTATGTTACAGTGAATACATCATATGGTTTGGTCACTGTTGTTAGGCAGGATGATATTATCTGTGAGTTTCCTTTCAAAGTGGTCCAAAAGCCTGAAAGGGTTGAGAAGTGTGGACCTAATAAGGATAGTTCTAAATGGTGGTGGGAGGGAATAATCTATAAAAACCCTCCATGCTATTTTGATACGGTTCCTTGCCGTCCCTCTTACTTTGCAGAGCTTGGTCTAGGACCAGGGGATCTGGATGAAGATTCCTGGGGGAGGGTCCAGGACTCAGCTCCCAGTTAATGGCTGATGGAATTTGCACAAGAGCTGGGCAAAGGTGAAAGGGCCATGTCCTGCCCCCAAACCCTCATCCCTCGCTCCGCTTCGTTGACACCTCCACTCCTTCCCACTACAGGCAGCTAACTTCACCCAAACTCTGACCTCTTGCTCTCTCCACTTAACTCCAGCCCACAGTAGCCAAGAGCGGACAAAGGCAGGGCAGCATGAACAGATCTCCCCATCCCATCCCACTGCTACCCACGGGCTCCCCGGATGCCCTGGCTCCCCTACCACCGCTGCCTGCTCTCCAGAATCCCTCCTCCCACTCTTGGGCCGCTCGGTGTGGGCCTCTCACCTGGGGGCTCAGCTGTCTTCTGGCTCTGCAGGTAGGAGGTAGAGATGCAGCAGTTGGTGCTGGCTGACGGGAGTGTTTGGGGGGAGTTCCTGTGGCATAAATAACCTAGAAATAAGTATTTCTGTTTGTTTCTAAAGACCACTTTTCCCATTCTCCCACCTGCAGCATTTCCTGGTCCTGGCTTCCCTGCTCTGTGCCTTCTACCTGCTTCTGCTTTGCAGTCTTCCCCCAGGTGCGCTCTCTTACTCCCCTGCTCAGCTCCTGGCCTCCAGCTTCTTTGCATGTGGTGTGTCTACAGTCCTGCAAACCTGGACTGGCAGCAGGTGAGCAGATCTCCCTGGAGGGGCCAGGGTCCCATGGGGAGGAGAAGCTTGGGGAGCCCAGCAGGCTGCCGCATGTTTCCAGACCTGCTGGGGCTGCTGTTCCTACAGGCTGCCTCTTGTTCAGGCTCCATCCTTAGAGTTCCTTATCCCCGCTCTGGTGCTGACCAGCCAGAAGCTGCCCATGGCCATCCAGACACCTGGAAACGGTGAATATAGAGCAAGGGCAGGCAGAGGAAGGGGTAGGTGCTCATCTGAGGATATAGGTGGAGGTGGGTGCAGGATTGAGGTTGGGCAGTGGTGGAACTGCCAGGCACTGTAGGTGTTTTGGGGCCATGTCAGGCACCAGCTAGGACTGGAGTGCGATGGTTCTCCATCATACCTACCTTCTCTCCATGCCCCAAACTCCTCCCAGCCTCCCTCACCATGCGCCTGTGTAATGGACCTGGCTGCCATGGCCTGGAGCTCTGGAACACTTCTCTCCGAGAGGCAAGTACCTACAGCTGGGAAGCAGGAGGCCTGGGGCAGTGCAGACTCAGGGAGGCTCTTGTTTATAATGTGCAGGGACTGAGAAGCTCTGGGGGAAGGAGTTAGGCAGGGACCTGTCCTTGGAATTCCTTGAGAGTCCAGGCTCAGGTCAATTTGAGCAGAATGTTTTCTCTCCATCCTCTCCTCTGTCCTACTAGGTTTCGGGGGCAGTGGTGGTGTCCGGACTGCTGCAGGGCATGCTGGGACTGCTGGGGGGGCCTGGCCGTGTGTTTGCCCACTGTGGGCCCCTGGTGCTGGCCCCCAGCCTGTTTGTGGCAGGGCTCTCTGCCCACAGAGAGGTGGCTCAGTTCTGCTCTGCTCACTGGGGCCTGGCCTTCCTGTACGTGAGTCCTTTGAGGCATGGGACGTGCCCAGTGGAGTGTGTGAGACTGGGGGAGGGCAGAGCACGGGTCCTATCAGATTCGGCTGCCATCTGGGCAAGGATGACACTTTGTAGATTGCAAAGCCAAAGCTTTGCCTTGATTCATATACTGTCCCCGACATTCACACTGTCTCTTGCTGTCTCCATGGAGCCCTCCCTAGCCCTGCCATGGGCTGTCAGCTCTGGACTCCCCCTACCATTGCCATTGCTCAGGACTCTGCTGCCTCTTGGCCTGAAAGCTCCTTCTCTCTCCTAGGCTTATCCTGCTCATGGTGGTCTGTTCACAGCACCTGGGCTCCTGCCAGGTACCCCCGTGCCTTTGGCGGTCATCCTCAACCTCTTCAGCTCACATTCACACCCCTGTCTTCCGGCTCCTCTCGGTATGTGGAGTTCTGGGTGTTCAAGGTTAGAGATGGGGATGGCATGGGATGCTCCCTCAGCTCCCTACGTTGGGCTCTGCCACCCCAAGCCTGGCTCGAAAGGTGCTGGGGGAGGGCACCTTTTCGTCTCAGTCCCACCCCTCAGGTGTTGATCCCTGTGGCCTGTGTGTGGATCACTGCCGTCCCGCTGGGTCTCAGCGTTGTCCCCCTGCAGCTGTCTGCCACTGCCGAGGCACCGTGGTTTTGGCTGCCTCACCCAGGTAAGTTTTCTTGCTCACATCTAGCAGGGTATCTATTTCTTTGAGCTCAAGACTTAATGGATTTCATGGATTGCACTTCTGAGTTAAATCCCATGTTTCCCCAAAACACACAGGAAGGAGAAGCTGCCAAACTGAGAGGCAATTCCCATGCTTTACTGCAGGTGTTTTATTTGGGTCTATAGTGCTCACTCTAGGTCCTCCATTTACATGTCTATGTTACTGATCGCCATGGGCATTTCAGTTGGTACTCTGTGTGGAAAGACAGTTTTTGAGACATCGCATGTGAAATTTGCTCATTCATCTATTATTTATTAGTTAATGAGTTTTGGGGCACTGGGAATTGAACCTAGTGCCTTCAAGTGAGTTCTAGCCCTTTAAAAAAATCGTTTTGAGACAGGATCTTGCTAAGTGGCTAAGTTGCCCAGGTTGGGCTCAAATCTGTGATCCTCCTTCCTCAGCCTCCCAGATTAGAGGAGGGATTAACAGGAGTGTGCCATCATGACCAGCTGGAAAGTTATTCCTGATAGAGTAGTCACTGAGCTGAGATGTGAGAGATGAGTAGAGCTAACTGGATAGGAGGGAGGAGAGAAGAGCACTTTAGGTAGAGAGAATGGCATCTGCAAAGGTCCTGTGGCAGCTGGGAGCACAGCAAGTCCCTGGCCTAAAAGAAGATCAATGTTTCTAGAGGTAAGTGAGGTAGAGTGTGGCAGGCAGACTGGAAAGAGAAGTAAGAGTCAGACCAAAGAAACTCCTGTAGACAATGGTAAAGGGATAGGTCTGTTTCCTTAGAGTCCAGTGATTTTGTCCCAAGACTTTATCTTCAGATGCACTGGGGGCATCTAGGAACAGGCCATTGAGAGCAAAAGGAAGTGCCAGAATCAACTTCATGTGGCTCTTTCTCCCCCCTCAGGTGAGTGGGACTGGCCCTTGTTGACACCCAGGGCTCTGGCTGCAGGCATCTCCATGGCTCTGGCAGCCTTGACCAGCTCCCTGGGCTGCTATGCCCTGTGCAGCCAGCTGCTGCATTGGCCTCTCCCACCTCCACATGCCTGCAATCGAGGGCTGAGCCTGGAGGGGCTGGGCAGTGTGCTAGCTGGGCTGCTGGGGAGCCCTCTGGGCACAGCATCCAGCTTCCCTAATGTGGGCACAGTGAGCCTTTTCCAGGTACGTGGACCTGGGACCAGGGTGGGGAACTGGATGCAGGTGCAGAGGAGGGATGGGAACTCACACTGGTTGGTTGCCAGCTGCGTCCAGCAGTCAAGCAGGCAGCTCACATCAATAAACGCACGTGGGGAGGTGCCCAGAAGTGGTGAGAAAGAGGCTAGGAAGATAGCAGGTCCCCAGATCAGGCGCATCAGGTGCTCTTCCAAGGCTGGAGTTCCAGTGAAGAATGAGTCAGATGAAGTCTTGCTCTCCTGGGGACTTCATAGAAGGAACAAATGAAAAGAAGTAATTTTAGAGAGTGATTATGTGCTGTTAAGAAAACAAAAACAGTGGGACAGTGGCTGATTAAAGGAAGCACCTTTAGATAGAATGGCCCGGATGCTTCTTGGAAGAATAGCGTTTAAGTTGGGATCCAAATGAGGAGAGGCATCTGGCCAGGCAGACACCTGGAACAGCTCAGGGAGGTGGCTATGTTTTCTGCCTCTTCACACAGGCTGGATCTCGGCGAGTGGCGCACTTAGCAGGGCTGCTCTGCATGGGGCTTGGGTTCTCGCCCAGGCTGGTGCAGTTCCTCACCACCATCCCACTGCCTGTGCTTGGTGAGTGGATGTATGGCAAGACTGGTATTGCAGCAGTACCCGCCACCCCCATGCAGCGGGCCTGTGTGGTTACACTGGCACCTTTCTCTCTAAATGGCCTCCCTGGATGAAAGAATATAAACACGGTCAGCTGCCCTCCTTTCCTCAGCCCAACATCTTGGCTTCTTGGCTGGGCTCCTGGGCTTTTGGCAGAATCAGAAACAAGCTGTTGGTTGTTCCTGCATCACCGTCTTAACTTCCCTGCAGTCCCCTGTGCCATGCTGTACCCCACACCCTTGATTTCTTCTGTTCGAGACAGGTGGGGTGCTGGGAGTGACCCAGGCTGTGGTTCTGTCTGCTGGCTTCTCCAGTTTCCACCTGGCTGACATTGACTCTGGGCGAAATGTCTTCATTATGGGCTTCTCCGTCTTCATGGCCCTGCTGCTGCCACGGTGGCTTCGGGAAGCCCCAGTCCCACTCAGCACAGGTGGGTGGAGTGGAGAGGGAAAGAGGAGGCGCTCAGTAGCGGGAAAGCAAGGGGTTGAGGCTTCAGGCTTTACAGAGTTTTGGTCCCACATCCTTCTCTAACCATCAGTGTAAATAGTACATCATTTGTTTAAAAAAAATTTATTGAGCACCATTCTAGCTACTTGGAATACAAAGGTGCTTCTAAGTATTACAGTCTAGGACAAGAGATGAGGTATGCAGGAAATAGCAACAGAGGAATAAGAAGAGAGCTGTAGTTCTCACTGATGAGAGAAATACCTTCTGGTTGAGGTGATCCAGTAGCACTGAACTGGCCTTTAAGAAGGATAAAATTTACTAGCACTCAGGAGGCTGAGGCAGGAGCATCACCCCAAGTTTGAGGCCATCCTGGGCTACCTAGTGAGTTCTAAGCCACCCTGAAGTGCATAGTGAGACCATGTCTCAAAAAACAAAAACAAACAAACAAAAAAGTAAAATTTAAAGACTTTTGCTCTTCTCATTACTTTTGGTATCTTCTGTCCCCATGAACTGTTGCCCCTCTGCCATGTGCCATTCTGCCTTGGAGCTAGCTGCTATGAAATTAAACCTCCACAAACTGTGAGCTAAATAAATCTTTCCTCCTTTAAAAGAAAAAAAGGATTTTTGGAGAGAATGTGGTCATTTTTGATGGAGGAACCATTATAAAGACGTAAAAGTAGAAATCATAGGATATCTCCAGAGAATAGCTAATACCTTAGTTTGTCTAGAGCAGTTTTCCACCGGATGTGATTTTTGCCCCCATGAGAGACATTTAGCAGTGTCTGAAGACAGTTTTTTGGGTTACAAATAGGGAAGAAAGCCAGGCATGGTGGCACATGCTTGTAATTCCAGCACCTTAGAGGCTGAGGTAGGATTGCTGCAAGTTCAAGACTGGCCTGAACTAGAACTAGATTGGCCTGAACTAGAACTAGACTGGCCTGAACTAGTAAGACCTTGTCTCAAAAAACTAACCCCACCCGCCACCCCAAAAAAAACAAGAGGAAGGAAGGGAGGATTGTTACTGGCATTTAGTAAATAAAGAGATATTGCTAATTATCTAACAATGCACAGGACAGCCGCTCAAAATGTCAGTAGTATTGAGGTTGAGAGACTCCTGCTACAGCATAGAAGTTAAAAAGGGGGAGATAAGTTTGGGCTTTTATTTTTTTATTTAGTGGCATTGAGGATGGAATCCACGGCCTTCACACTAAAATATACCCCTAACCCCTTTTTATTGTTTGAGACAGGCTCTCACAGACTCTCTACATTGCCTAGTCTGGGCTTGAGCTTGGGATCCTCCTGCCTCAGTCTTTCAGAGTGCTGAGGCTGAAGGTGTGCACCACCGTGTCAGGCTAAACTGGGACTTTTAATATCCAACTTTCCAGAGAAAAGGCAACTGGAACAAAGTATCTTAGGAGGATGTGTGGGTGCTCAGAAGATACGGTGTTGAACAAGGATCCTTTGGGCAAGGGCTTGAGTGTAATAGAGAGTAGTGGAACAAAGGTAAGGAAGAAAGGACGACAACTCAGAAAGCTCTGTCCTTAGGCTGAGACTTGGGTTTAGGTCTGGAAGGACAGACTCCCTGGCATCAGAGCTGCCTTTCTGCCTGGCCCCAACCCCTTGTAGGCTGGAGCCCCTTGGATGTGTTACTGCGGTCACTGCTAGCACAGCCCATTTTCATGGCTGGATTCTTGGGCTTCCTCCTAGAGAACACAATTTCTGGTAAGTTGAGGCCAGCTCCTAGCAGACTGGGGAGTGCTAGGAAGTCATCACTCCCTGGGTTAGCCACGGACTAACCTCTCTTTTGCAGGTACACGGCTTGAGCGAGGCATAGGTCAAGTGCTACCATCTTCTTTCACTGCTCAAGAGATTCAAAAGCCTCAGAAGTCCAGGGAAAAGGCTGCTCAAGAGTATGGGCTTTCTCTCCCTATCCAAAATCTGTGTGCCTGCATCCCCCGGCCCCTCCGTTGCCTCTGCCCAGTGCCTGAAGAAGCTGGGGATGAAGAAAGAGGGCCCTCTGAGCCAGGAGAGACGGCAGACTTGTTGCCTGGCTCCAGGGAGCCCTGCCCTGCCTCGGACAGAGAAGCGCTTAGATCTCTGTAATTACCAAGAGTCCTATTTCTGCCCTATTAGTTTATCCCTAATTTGCATGCTTGCTGGAGAGTGAGCACCCAGGCTCTACTTTGTCCTAGAGAGTGAGGGTGTGTGTGTGTGTGTGTGTGTGTGTGTGTGTGTGTGTGTGTGTATACACAGCATGGCCGACTTAGAGACCCCATTCCCAACAGGATGGGTTGCCTTTCCTTCCAGAGTAGGGGCCATGATTTAATGCTCATGAATGAATGAGATTTGCGTGGGAACTATTAATGCCTCAAGAGCCGTAGTATTCACTTAACAAATATTTATTTATGTGGATATGACAAGGTCCCTGTCCTTCCCAGCAATTTAGGATTGAAAAAGACCCATGTAATGACTAAAATGACCGCAGAAGGCATTCTGTAGTAAAGATGCAAATAACGCCGTGAGAGCTGAGGAGGAAGCGATTTATTCTGACTGGGGAAAGTGCGAAATGCTTTACGAAAGTAACACTGAGAGTGACCTTGAGAAGAGAGGATTTGGGGCTTTGGGAAACGGACGGGGAGAATTTTTCAGGCTCAGGGATCCAGCTTGAGCAAAAGCATGAGTTGCGCAAACTACAAGAGTTGAGGGGCTCTGAGTGTCGGCAGTGACATATAAGAATGGGGGCACACGGAGGGAGAAATGAAGTGCAGCTCTAGAGGTGGTGAGGATCCCAGAGATCATGTAGGGAAATTCAGTCCTCTCACTGAAAAAGCTAGACCCCCAGGGGAGGTGAGAGAAGTAATTTGAATTTGACAGATTCAACCCCAGGTAACTCCATCCACCATCTCGTCTGGTATTCTTTCGCCTTTGCTGGCTGACTCCTGGAAGCGCGCCTACTCGACTTCCCTGGGGGCCGCCCAGCCTTCTAGCTCGCCTGACAGCGTGGCCCTCCTACTTTCCCGGCGCGCCTTCAATCAGCCCTATGGGCTCCGAAGCTCCGCCCACACCAGGCCTGGCTCCGCCCACACCAGGCCTGGGCCCCGCCCCCGTGTGGGGAATCGGCCTGTACTCTAGGCCTTTCAGTTTGCGTGGGCGGGCGGGCCTGCCGCGAGGAGGGTGGGACTTTCTCAGCCGCTGAAGGTAGGTGGGGTCGGGCTTGTGTCTGGGGCCTGGGTCAGGGGCCGGCCGAGCGCCGAGGACTTGTGTGCAGCCGGCGGGTGGGCCCCGGCACGGACTTTTCCGCCCAACAGACACCGCGCGCAACCGAGGCTTTGGGGCCGACCGACCTCTGGGAGTGGGCGGGACTGCGCATGCGCAGTCCGCCTCCGGAAACTGCGGGGCTCGCGGGCTTCACTGACTTATCTTGGGTGGGTTGCTTGGTGTGGTGGTACTGCTGTGGTCGTCTTTGTTACGCCTGAGCCGCCCCTTGGTGCAGCCGATGCTGTAGAAGTGGAAAGGCGGACGGCGAAGCTCTTCTAGGGGGGGCGGATGAAAACGGCTTGGGGCGCGGCTCCGGGGGTGGACTCTGGTCGTGGGACTGAAGTTTCGTGCTCTCCCTGAGGGCAGGGCGTGGGCCCAGCCTGGATGTCTCTAGTTCTCTACTGCCCTCTTCAGGAGGGTGGGGGAACTGCCATGAGAGGGGCCCACGGCGGAGGGGTGGCGCTTGCTGCAAATACCAGTTCTCAGGGGACTCCAAGCCTGCTGTTGCTCTTCGCCTGCCGGTTTATTGAAGAGTCCTGAACTGGTAAATGTGGTTAACGTGAATGTTAAAGGTGGCCTTGAAGGACAAAAAGTGAAATTTAAAGGCCTCAGATTTAGAATGGGCCTGCATAGTGGGAGCAACCAGCCTGGGTCTGGTGCTGAATGTTTCAGGCCTTTTTATTTTTGCAGTACTGGCTATCGAACTCAGGACCTTCACGCTGAGCTACATCCCTATTTTTTTTTTTTTTTTAATTTTGGAATAAGGTCTCACAAAGTCACTATGTCACCTAGGCTCGACTTGAATTTGGGATCTTCCTGCCTCAGCCTCCTAGAATGCTGGGATTACAGGTGTCAGCCACAGCCCTCAGCTTTTCGGACCTTTTTATACCATTTTTCCCTAGCAAAATTTTCAACTACCCTCTTCCCCCCAAATAAAAGCCATCAATTTGAGGGTTCTGACCCTTCAAACTTTCCGAAAAGAGCCTAGGATGGTAAACCTCTCAGGGCACCCTGGAGAGCGCCTCTGAAGGAAATGAAAGGCTTGGGCAACTGCATACATTGTCACAATCTTTGGCTGTGAGGTGCTCTTGTCCAGGGAAGATTAGTCTAGCTGCCATCTCCACCCTGTAGCAACAGTGTGTGGGAAATGTAACAGAAATGCCATCTCCAAACCAAGGTTTTGAGGCTGCAGCAAATGACAACCAGCATGGGTAGGTTCATATGTCACTTAAGATGGAGATGTTTCATCGTTGTATGGGTTCAAGTGAGCATGCCACTTTTAGCACAGTATAAAGCTATTCAACCGGGCGTGATGGCCCACGCCTGTAATCCCAGCACTCGGGAGGCTGAGGCAGGAGGATCGTTGCAAGCTCGAGACCAGCCTGGGCTACAAAGTGAGCTCAAGGTCAGCTTAAGCTGCAAAGGTAGACCCTATCTCAAAAAGGCAAAAAAAAGAAAAAAAAAAATGTTCAATCAGCACCACTTGGGGCAGGAAAAATTATTTTACCAGAGTCACAACCCGCCTAGGTATGAGCAGAGACACATCCCACAGATCTGCATAAAGGTGTTTTTGGTTGCCAAAAGAAGACAGCAAAAGGGAGAACTATCAATATGTGAACACATAGAGTGTGTGATACAAACTAAGACGATCATCACTAGGCGATATAGTCTGTGGGACCACTGTTGTATAAGCAGTCTTGTTACTGGCTGAAATATCCTTATGTGGCACATCTGTATGTATATTCCACCTATCTAGTCACAAGTCAGTAATGACAAATTAGGTAATGTCACAAGGCCACACCCTGAGAACTAGGTTACAGTTGGAAGAACAATGATTTGTACTGATTCAATAATGACTGTGTTAGTCACACTTAATTTCATTATTGTCTTTATTGCCTAAATTTTCACCTTTAGGTACTTTGCTTCATTTTGCATTTTTTGACTAAAATAATAAAGGAAATTATATCACTTTTTTTTTAACCCACAGGAAAAATAATCAAATTCTCTGTCAATCAGCCATAGTTACTGAATATCTATTTGGTTAAGGCTACTAGGGTAGCAGTTCAGGCCGAAAAGTTTCCAGGAGTTTCTAACTGCACAGAGGGCATGTTATCATTGGTGAGTGTGCCTTGAGGTGGGGACATGAGGGATGAGTTAGTGGAAGTTAATTCTCTTCCTCTTTGATGTTCTGTGCTTTATATTTATGACTTTCTGGGCATTTGCTGAAAGAGGATTTGAGTTTTCATTTGCTTCTGGCTGCAGAGCATACTATTTCCTTTTTTTTTTTTGGCCCCGGGGTCCAACTCAGGACCTTGCACTTGCCAGGCAGGTGCTGTGCTGCTGAGCTAAATCCCTGGCTGTACTAGCTTTTTTGTGTGTCATCATTCCCTTTAAGAATTTGGTGATAGCTGGGTGTGGTGGCACATGCCAGTAATCTTAGCCCCAGGAAGCTGAGGCAGGAGGATCACCAGGAGAGTTTGAGGCCAGCCTGGATTGCATAGCAAGACCCTGCATTAAAAAACAAAACAAAACAAAACAAAAAACCAAAACCAAAACCAAAAAAAACAAAAGAACAACAGTAACAAAAAACAAACAAGAGCCGGGCACACGGTGGTGGTGGCTCACACCTGTAATCCCAGCACTTGGAGGCTGAGGCAGGAAGATAATTGCAAGTTTGAGACCAGCCTGGGCTACAAAGTGAGCTCAAGTCCAGCCTCAACTGCATAGTGGGACTCTGTCTCAAAAATACAAAAAACAAAACAAACAAATAAACAAAAAACTCAAAAGAATTTGGTGATAGCCAATTTTTATATAGTTTATATATGTATTATATATGTATATATAATTTCAGAGGATTCACATGCATAGGCTCTAGATTAAGAACTTCTCTTTTAGAGATTAAAAAAAATTCTTGAGAGCTTCTAGAGTTTTGTTTTTAAATAGTGGTGAAATAATTCAAATTTCCTCTCCTGTCTTTCTTTCTCTTTTTTGTTTTGTTTTGTTTGTTTTTGAGACCAGATATTGCTATATAGGTCGGGTTGGCCTCGAACTCACTATGTTATTTAGGCAGTCTTGAACTCAGCAATCCTCCTGAGTGCTGGGATTATAGGTATGCGCTATCACGTCTGGTCTTGTCTTTCTCTTTTAAAAGTTCTAGGAAGGATAACATTGACTTATTTATTAGAATTGTGATAAGGATGCAACAATGGTTTGAGTTTCCACATTAAGTTATATTATTAGAAAGCAGAAATCTGCCAACACTTAACCACTGTGAAAGAAAGATAATTTCTCTTCTGTCCGGTGCTGTCCTGTTGTGTCTTCCTCCCTCCCTCCTCCCATTTCCTCCTCTGTCCTTTTCTCTATCTCCTTCTCCTTTCTTCCTTCCCTTTCCTCCCTCCCTTCCTCTCTACTGGAGGTTAAATCCAGGGCTTTAACACTAAGCTACACCCCAAACCATTTTCTTATTTTTTATTTTGAGGTACAGTCTCACTAAGATGCCGAGACTGGGCTCAAACTTCTGATCCTTTTGTTTCAACCTCCCAGAGCACTGGGACTACAGGCATGTACCACCACGTGCCCAACCAAAAGAGATATTTTATTTCCTCTTAATGTGTGTGTGGGGGAAACTTGAGTGGCCAAGATTGATGCTCAGTTGGTTTGATAAGAAGGAGACTGTGAGTTACCAAGTTATTTGTGTTATCCAGGATTTTCATAAGATCTTAGTTGGTATAGGGTTGTCTGGGTGATTCTCTCCCAGGGCAGTTGTCCTGGAGACATTTTGCTAAGTTAGACCTTTCCTGCAGATGGAGGAACTGGAGCAAGGCCTGTTGATGCAGCCGTGGGCATGGCTACCGCTCCCTGAGAACTCCGTCCTGGCCAAGGCGTATATCACTAAGCAGGGCTATGCCTTGCTAGTTTCAGATCTTCAGCAGATGTGGCACGAACAGATGGATACTAGTGAGGTGAGCCAGCGAGCCAAGGTACGTGTGAAGAGAAGTAGTGCTGTGGGGTGGAGTGGGGTGGGATTCCCTCCCAGCAAAGGTCAGGGGGACATGAACATCAACCAGCTTGATTGCCTGTAAGTTGGCAAGGAAAGATTGGATTGGATTGGCACAATTCCAGTTACAGATTGAACATCTTTAATAGGAAAACCTGAAATCCAAAATGTTCCAAAATGGAAAATTTTTAAGCCTTAGCATTCAAAAAGTTTCAAATATTGGAGCATTCAGGTTTTAGATGTTGGGATTAGGGTTGCTCAACCGGTACAGTCTATGCATATATTCCAAAATCCAGATACCTCTGAAATCCAAAGCACTTTTGGTCCCAAGTATTTCAGATAGGGGATATTTGTCATGTCTTACACTTTTATTTGTGGTCCCAGGATCTTTTGCAGTGCATGTGTGTGAGAGACTGTGTGTGTATGTGTGTGTGTGTGCCTGTGTGTGTTTCTATATGTATGAAAATACATAATGTGACCTAATAAAGGTCACAGATGCCAAGATAGAATTGTGAAGAAGGCCAGCTGACTTATCTTTGTGATTCCTTCTGGTTTTTTTCTTACCTGTTCTTCCCCTCCCCCCCCCCCGT